TATATATATATAATTTTTCATAATTTTTTTATTAATATATTCACATCTAAAATATTTATATTTATATATTAATTAATTAAAAAGTAGAAGTACATCATTTATTTTAAATGTAAATGGCTTTACTGTCTCTCTTTTTTTAATCAATGCACTGTTGATAAATAAAAGTGTATAGGAAGTTACAGTTTCAAGGTACCTTCCTCAAAATTGCTTGCCCATATGTAATATGTAACTGTCAAATTGTGTAATCCATTCCTACACACACAAAACACCCCCTTGACTGTACCAAACATCACACCATTACTAACATTAATTCAGAAATTTCAGGGGTGAATTTGGCATTATATTTTAATTATACGGCTATTGTGGGGTGAAGGGAAACCCAAAGGGCCCATTGGGCCCCTGGAGGTGCCCTGATGAGGTGGGGACTCCAGCTTTAAGTTTGCTCTCTTCACTGCTTTTGTCTGAGCTGTTCCCCCGGGACGCCTGGGTCTGTGTCCCATGTGCTGTAATGAGTCTTTGATAAAATAGCTGCCAAAAACGTCATGAATAATTCATGCAAGGATTCAGATGCTGCCCTTAGAGATGTAAATTTCACCTCTATGCTCAAAATGCTGGATTACACAGACCGTTTGCTCATTTTCTGTTCCTTTTTTTTTTGCATATGTTAATTCTCAGTGGATAAAGCCCTTTGGTGAAAGAAGATGCATCTACATCAGTGCAATGCAAAAAGAAACTATGATATAACAAACCAAATGAAAACAAAGAAGCATATCTGATGTAATCAGTAGCAAGGCGATGCAAAGCCAAAATGATGCTGTAATTCTGATCAGATAGGTCAAACTTACACAGAATATATTTGTCAGTAAACCAGTGAACCAAACAAGGTCTTTATTTTAAAAACTAAAAGATAACTCATATTGACTTTTTGTAAATGCTTCTTGGCATCAGCTCACTGTGACCGCGCCACATTGACAAATGTTATGCAAAGGTCTATTCTCATCACAAAGTGCATGTGTGTCTGTCTAGACACTGGTTAGTGTGCATCCGTTTCCTTAAAAATAAAGGTGAATACTGTATCGGTCAGTTCTATTAAACATCATTGTGTTGATGGCAGCTTTCTCCTCATGTGAGAGGGACTTGTAATCAAGTCCAGACTTGTAGCAGATGGTGTTTGACAACACAGAATGAGAGACATATATCAGAGGCCGCTGTTTTCAATAAAGCAGCTTCCAACAGATACTGAAACTAATCCTGCTCTCACCTGACAGTGTACAGCAAATGAGACCAAACTAAAAAAGCTTTTGACTGACCCTGATCCTGACCAGAATGCTGTAGATTCATGGTTTTGGCCAAATTATGTATCAAAAAGCACTTTGTCCTCTTAGGTTTAAATAGTTGGACTCATTTCACACACATTTTCTTTCACAGACGGCTATATAGACTACATAGGAAGTCAAACATTCTCCTTAAAGGTGCACTTGCTAATTTCTGGGTTGTGTTTAGCCAGCTCTTATTTGTCCCACTATAGTGGTTTTAGAATGTATACTTTTATTTTTATGAAAAGCATCTTGAGCACAGGCTGAAAGGACTAGGCCTACATAAAATAAACATATTATTATTATTATTATTGTCATTAGTAATAGAAGTAGTAATTCAACTGCATGACCCAGCAGCTAACAGGGAACATTCCGGCAAAGTTATGAACAAACATTCTTCCTGTAATTCTTTCATAGTGTTCTCAAAAGGTTAGCACAAAAACATTTTCTATACATTGCTCATGGAATATTTTTTCTCAAATGTTTTAGTTGGAAGTTCGTCTAACATTTTGTGCATGTTAATTATTGTTTCAGAATTCAAAAGCAATGTTCCTATAATGTTTGCAAAATAATAGAATTGAAGAAAAACATTTTAAAAACTGTACATTTTAAACATCCAGAGAACATTCAGAAGTAACATTTTCATAATTTAATGGAAATGCTATAGCAAAACGATCTTAGAACATATTTTAGTTGGGTCATGTCATGTGGCGCCCATGAGAAGCCAGTTTTTTGTTTTTTTTAGAATTTTGAATCATGTTTTTAAAAGCTCTGCTCCTTTTTTATGTATAAACCGTTTAAATTAAGAAAAAATGACTGAGCGCACCTTTAAAGATTAACATCTCTCTTCATATTGTTACTGCATTGCTAATATTAACCGACAGGGGGAGAATTTAGCACACAAATAACGGTAAAGCATTTCGAGCATAACAACTTTCTGTTGCAAAACATTGGATAAGTACGTACATAGCAGTTAGCCCACCTTTTTCATATACATAAAAACACATGTTTCTACAATTGTTTTTAACCCTCCAAACATAGAGTTTAACGTCCAGTCTTACTGTAAACACAGAACTTCTCTTACTTGTGACATCTGAGGTCTCAGGTTGATCTCCCTCAGGTTGATGGACTGGGGTCTCAGGTTGTTGAGGAGCTGGCACAGGAGGACCCCATCCCGCAGGGTCTGCGCCAGGTCGAACACCTGAGCGGACTCCCATGTCACCCGATGGTTCGGTGGCAGCACCTTACAATTGATCAGCCATAACGCACATTGTCTCCAATGCTCCATCCTGTCCAGTGATGCACAGTAAAAGATTTAACACCAATCCAAAACCAAAGCGCAAGTGGCGTCTCCTCGTCCGATGCGCATAGGAGAATCACGGGCGATGTAATGACTGGATGGTGTTTCTCAGGGTCGGAGCACCAGCGGAGTGTGACTGATCGGTGTGCTGCTGCTCCCCTCATTCGCTTTTTCACCTCTTATTTTCGCACTCCCCGCGCCGTCCCCTCTCTCTATCTTCCTGCTTCAGATGCTCCGTATATTGCGCTGCTGACTTGACACCCGGAACTAGGCGATGCCTCTTATTTAATTTGATCGTCGATATCAATACCGATACCTCTAAACTAAATTGTTTATTAAAAGTATAAAATCAGTAATTATGCTCTCTTAACATTATATTTGAAAGCCATGTTTTTTAACATTTCATAGGCTTTTTTGTTTACACTGTCAGAAGTAAAATGTACTAAAAATTTTATTTTAGCTCTTTACTGGGTCAGTAACCTCAAAGGTGCACGTTCTCTACCCCTAAAAGGGAGCATATCAGTAACATACAAGTAAGCACGCTTACGGGTAGATAAAAGTGTAGGTATGTTAAGGTATGTTAAGGGTAGATAAAGGTGTAGGCTACCTTTGAAGGTACCTCATGAAAAATAACCATGGTTAATTTTTGTAAAAGGCTGCCAGACAGTTGTAGCCCTAAAGGTGAAACTTTAGCACTTTTTTTTCTGACAGATTTATTAACAGCAATTACAGAACATAACACGATCCATTTGAACTTTTAACAACTAGTTGTTAAAGAATTACTTGCACAGCCTAATTAAAATAAATTCTGTCAGGACCACTATCGTCAAAGATGATTGACAATTAGCATACAGTTTGGATTGGCGGTATGGTTCTGTTCTGGGCAAGAACTCCCTGCGCCTCCATGCAGCCTAGCATGGATGAGAGCAGGGAGAGCAGCAATAACCCCCAGGGTAAACAGAACAGAACTAACATAAATGTATGTTCAAAAGTTTGGGGTCAGTATGATTTGTTTTATGTTTTTGAAAGAAGTCTCTAACCATGCTCACCAAGGCTGCACTTAGGCTATTTGAACAGAAATACAGTAAAAACAGCAATATTGTAAAATATAACAATTCAAAATAACTATTTTCTATTTTATTATATTTTAAAATGTAATAAAAAATGCATATGTGATCAAAGCAGATTTTTCAGCATTATTACTCCAGTCTTCACTGCCACATGATCTTTCAGAAATCAATCTATGCTCATTTGCTGCTCAAGAAACATTTCTGATTATTATCAATGTTGAAAACAGTTGTTCTGCCCAATATTTGTGTGGAAACAGTGACACATTTTTCAGAATTTGATGAACGATATTAAATGTGCAATGTTGTGAAATAACTCCCGATTGTTTCTCTGTCATCTGATATGCATTGATCTGGCCTTTGTTTCCCAAATGCCTTGTGAGCCTATGCTGATCGCAGACACAAATGGTGGCAGTAAGATCTGACGCTTTTAGTAAACGCAGACCTTCTTTTTTTTATTGATTTCCAACATATAATATAAAGGTACTGAACAAATATAAACTACAAAAAAGAAATAGAAAATATACAGTATTATATAAATAATAATACAGGTAAAAATAAATAAATAAATAAATAAATATAATAATTAAAAAAAAACTAAACAGAAAAAATAACAGGTATGAGATCATCATATAAATAACAGAAAAACTTCACAGAGACCTAGTGCGTTTTGCTTTACTGTTTTTCAACCCAAGTAGTAACTCAATATAATTTTTCATATCTATCTGAAATAACAAAAAGTTGGGTTTTCCTTTAGCCCATTTCTGTTTATGTATATGGTGTTTGCCCATAATCAAACAAAGATTAACAATAAAGGCCACATTTGGTGGTAGTAAACGCAGACCTATTTGAACAAGCACTGTGAGCGAAGCGTCAGCAGCGAACGCTGTCTGTGATTGGTTGGTTGGTTGGTTCTGTCTTTCACCTTTTGCGTATGTTCCGATGAGCACGAGAAATAGTTCTATCCTACACAACTATTCGCTAATATAGTCTATTTTTCCAATTAGAAGTTTATTTTATGCACTGAATTTCTTGCAAAATAAATACAATTAATGGTTAAAAAGCACTTTAACGTGAGGAACGATCCTTTCGACGTCAGTATCGAAAGTAGGCTATCGATACTTCAGGACAAACAAAACATACAGGGGTATTCTTTTACAAATAGCCTAAGGAAATATACTTTTTAAGAGTTTGCAATTACAACCATTTTAGTAACCACAGAAATTAGATTTACAAACTACGCTGCGTCATTGGACATGAACTAACAACGACAAATAGCTACTTCATTTATTAATCTTAATGTTAATTTCAATTTAATTAATTTACTAATACATTATTAAAATTAAAAGTTTTATATGTTCAAATTATTAAACTGACCTGAGCTTACATACACTACTCACAGTGGACAGTTTTATTAAAATTATATTTATATTAACTAGTGTTAAGAAATATTAATAAATAGCCTACTGTCACAAATGTATTGCTCATTGTTAGCTAATAATGTGTAAAGTGTTATTTCTATAAAAAGTCATATTAAGATGTCTGCAAATGTCACTTGGCTTTATATCTTATCCAATTGAAGGACATTCAAACATGTTAAGCGTTGTTTGGTGTCCACATACATTCTGTATGATGATTAAATCATTCCATAACCACAGTCTAATATCTTTTCAAGATTTGACAATGGTAAGATTATATGGTTTATATTTGTTTCATATTCCCAAATACATGGCAGATGATTCAAAAATAGTTTAACTTGAAACTAGAGGCTTATTGGTTCCACCTCTTCTGCAGTTTGTAATTGGCTCTCTAAGTTTTTTACATACAACAGTACAGAGCGAGAGAATGAGTGTTGGCTAAAGAGAGCATTCTCTAGATAAGCAGCAGTGAAATAGGATGATGCATTGTCATGGATATCCTGCTTCTGTCTCTCTGCTCCTATCATCATGAACCTGAGGAGGTCTATATCAACACTGCCAGCTAAGACTGTCTGCATTTTCACTTCAGCATCAGAAAATACGCCTGAAATGAAAATGCATGGTCACGCTTTGGCACTGCAGCAAAAAGAACTATCTTAGACTAGTACATTTATCATTTGGGGGTTTGAGCTTGCAGATATAACACTCCGCTTATGTTTGAAAAATACATTTTGATTTGAATTGGTATGTTTTTTGTTCCTCAAACTTTATAGAAACACTCTTTCCACATCCAGAAGGCACCATAAGATGTTTACATGTTTTAGAAGGCCACAGTGAGCAAGACGGTTGAGCATGCCGTGACAGTAAATTAAACCATCTGTCTGTCATAACCAAGGTGTGTTAGGAGCCTAATAAGCTCTGTGATGAATTCTTTATTTATTTTCCTTCTGTTATAGGGTTGACTGAGGTTAGCTCGGCTGGTGTGATGCAGGATGCTACAGCAGACCAGATTTCCTCAACCCACACTGCTTCACTCATCACCCAGGTTGTTTCTATCCCATTTAACAGTGGTATGGAAGGGCTGGACATTGTCATCAATCACATATCAATCCCCAGAGAGACTATCAGACCTTCATGGTGGGAGGGGCTTATCTGTAAAGCAGTGCTTTGTGATTGGCTGCAGAAGAGAAAGAGGAAGCCTGACAATGTGGGCCAGCGCAGGAAGGAAGTGGAGAATGCAGGATGTTTGGAGCCAATGTCTATCTCTGTTTCCCTTCACAATTTTAGAGACTTGGCACAAGGCGGTAGCCCCCTCTGAGCTGACAGATGATCAAAGCGTCACACACTTGCCAAATGCTCAGAGAGACTCAGGCCCTGCTACATTGCTGCCATTCCAATAACTGCCATCGTTGTCATGACCTGCATTGTGTCGGTAATTTATAGCCTGACGCGGCGTGCTAATGACAATGCTTCTGGTGACAATACCTGATGACTTTGATGGGCTTGCTGCACAAGCGTCAAGATTACATTTCACAAGCAAAGATCAAGGTTATGTCTGAAATTGAATACAGAGATTACACAGTCATTGTTTTTTTTTTTTTTACATAACATCTATTGTTAAAGGAATATATTTTTGGTTCAGTGGAAGTTAAAATAATAGTTCAGTCAAAAATTAACATTTGCTGAAAATTTACTCACTCTAAGGCCATTCAAGATGTAGATGAGTTTGTTTCTTCATTGTAAGAGATTTTGAGAAAAAAGTAGTATACATCACTTGCTCACCAATGGATCCTCTGCAGTGAATGGGTGCCGTCAGAATGAGAGTCCAAACAGCTGATAAAAACATCACAATAATCCACACAACTCCAGTCCATCAAATATATTGTAAAGAGAAACTTAACAATGAAATATCCTGGAATATTCCACTACAGAGCTTTTTGGAACTTTATTTGAAGTTAATTAATTTCAGTACAGTTAATATTTGAATTAAACACACAATTTAACAGCAAATCATAGTCTGAGAGGAAAAGGTTATGGCCCTTTACTAATATCTGGACAAAATCATTTTAGTTATAACCCTTTGTAGAAGTATTGATCTGTGTGCACCGAGTCCACTGCAGAAATCAATAACCTGGAGACCCCAGGAGGAGCAGAGCCAGACATCTGATAGGGTTTCACGGTGTAGAGCTGTCAGCTGTGCAAGGATGGGATAAAGCACCAGATGATCAACAAAGAGGAACATAAGATAGAGACAGCTAAAGTCACTAGGGTCACAAGTCTGTAATCGTGAGCCACAAGGACTTGCCTAAACTAAATAAAAGAGCTGCACTGAACACAAATACATTTCCAGTCAAAAATTGGGGTTGGTAAAATTTAAAATAAATGTTTGAATATATTTTAAAAAGTAATTTATACCTGTGATGCAAACTGAATCAAAGCTGATTATGTGTCACGTGGTAATTCAGAAATCATTCTAATATGGTGATTTGCTGCTCAATAAATATGTCTTATTATTATCATCAATGTTGAAATGTTGCTGATTCATCTTTTTTTGGAAACTTCTTTTTCATGATTATTTAATGAATAGTAAGTTTTAAAAAAAACAAAATTGATTTGAAATATTAATATTTTTTAAAGTTATAAATGTCTTTATTGTCACCT